AACGTTTGCAAGAAAAGAACCAAGCTCAGAGAACCCGAAGGACTCCACAGTTCAACCCTGAACTACACATATACACCTCTATTGGTATTTCTTAATAAAAGAGTTGAGGAAGTGTTAGTGCGTTGGGAAAATATGAAACAATTAAATAGTTTAGATATTAATTAAAACTGATACATATTGCATAGTAAGTAGAAGAGGAATGTATTCTTTTCTTTCCAAAAAGATTCCCGAATATGCCAACAAATTTATTAATGGAATGCATAAAATTCAAGCACTTCATTTTAGCTTTTAATTTACTCACATTTTGCCTCCAGTAAGAGATAACAATTGAAAAATTATACTAAAAATAAGAATTTTCCAGTGTACTATACTTGATTCTATTTTAACTTTACAGTTTACAGAAAGGTTAATATATTTCCAAAAATGTTTGATTTTTGTAAGTATGTGTGAGTATGTGTAAAACTTCTCTTTTTGTGTGTGCTGAATCTTTGCAGAACCCTAATTCCAATCTTGCATCAGAAAGCAAAGAGAGGAACGCCTCACCAAGCCAAGCAAGCTGTCCATTGCATACATGCCATATTTTCAAATAAAGAAGTTCAGCTGGCACAAATCTTTGAGGTAACTTTCTGTTACTACTTTTAAAAATACTATCAAAAATTGGAGCCGGGCTATTATGATTTTAACAGTATGAATTTCATAAGAAATCAAATTGATTTGATTTGAAAAAAATGGGTAAACTAATGAACATTTTACTCCCATTAAAGTGAAGACAGCAAGATTTTTTTAAAGTAGATAAATAAAATTCTATTTGAGTGTCTAGTAGTTTGAAAATTAAAGACAATTTGTTAGTTTTTTGGAAGCTCTTCTAGTATATTCCTGTAATAGTATATCAAATTAATTAAGAAACTGAGCCTGCATTGCATTTCATTTCTTGAGATTTATATGTTTAATAAACTTATCAGATGGTACAATAATTTATATTTAGTCCTAATTTGCAATAGCTAATTGTTTGTTTTCTCTTCTTTCAGCCTTTAAGCCGGAGTTTGAATGCTGATGTTCCAGAGCAACTCATAACTCCTCTAGTTTCCTTGGGTCACATTTCCATGTTGGCACCAGACCAATTTGCATCACCAATGAAATCCGTAGTTGCGAATTTTATTGTAAAAGATCTTCTTATGAATGACAGGGTACGTTGAGTATAATTTTGCAAAAGATGGATGGATGGATGGATGGATGGATGGATGGATGGATGGATGGATGGATTGATTGAATTTGTATGCCGCCCATCTCCCCCATATGATGGGAAAGGGGAAAAAAACCAGATAATTAACATTGATACTTAAATTACTGTATTTTGTAGATTTTTAATTATTTAAAATCTCGCAGTCTACAGGTGACAAAAATGGGAAATTATGGTCTCCAGATGAAGAGGTTTCCCCAGAAGTCCTAGCAAAGGTATATAGTTCCTTTAACTATGAAACATTAAAATCCTCATGCACTCTTATACATTCTGTTAGTCAATTATATAAAATAGACATCTCGGCTTTTGAAGAAATTCAATTTTAGTGTGCCAAATAAAAAGGTAGTTTGCTTTCTTGTCTCCTAGCAAGTTTATGTTAAATGCTTTTTGAAGATTGAGTGGTATCTATTACCAAATTGCTAAAACAGGTATGATTTGGCCTGTGACTTTCAAATTAAACAATAGAGGTAACAACTTGATTTTCATTAATATTAGATATTCATGAATATCTTATAGTACTCGCATAAAAATCAAATGGAACAATAAATTTGGAAGGGCAGGGATTTGAGTCAGTCTTAACTCCTGGTGACTAAAGGACAAGTCCTTGCAGTTTTCTAGGCAACATTTTCAGAAGTTTTTGCCATTGCCTTCTTTCTAGGGCTAAGAGAGAGTGACTGGCCCAAGGTCACCCAGCTAGCTTCCATGCCTGAGGCAGGACTAGAACTCAGGTCTCCCCACTCCTAGTTCAGCACCTCAACACTAGATTAAAATGGCTCTCTTATACAGCAGCTATGTATTTTAAATTTGTCCTCTGTATTTCAATTTTTGGGAAATTTTCAGAGTTGGAGTTCTGTCAGAACTATCAATACAATCAAACCACAGCTGGATTTCCTGTAAATCGGTACATGGGTTTAGATAAATAATATAGCAAATGATGTGCAGTTGGAATAAGCAGAGAACAAAAATGTTAGTTTGTTTTCCAGTGTCCTTGCATTGAGGATACATTAAATTTTTGTTAAAATCTTTTCATCCTTTTCAAACCATTCCTTTTATATAGAACTGATTCTCAAACAAGTAATTGAAATAAAATAGACTTCTTCACAGCAGTATTAATATTTTTATATAGGTTCAAGCAATTAAACTACTTGTGCGTTGGCTCTTGGGTATGAAAAACAACCAGTCAAAATCTGCAAATTCAACTCTTCGGTTATTATCAGCCATGTTGGTCAGCGAAGGAGACTTGACAGAACAGAAGAGAATTAGGCAAGATTTTTGACGTATTTCAGTGCTTTGATCTCTTAATGTATATCAATATGCCTCAATCCAGCAAAGCACAGCTATTCACACAAGCAAACAAAGGCCCATACTTGCATCCTCTTGTTGAATTTGGAATAGTGAATGCAGAATGGATACCAGACATTCAGCATGGGTTGAACTTTTCAATTTTCTCTTTCAGTATGAATAAGAAATGTAATTTTTTGGAATATTCTACACTATATACATTTTGGACTCTGTAGGATACATTTTAAGCAGATTTTATGGCTGCTTTAAGGGGAGAAAATATGATACTCTGTACAGTCCTTATTGAAAAGAACAGAAGGCTATACTGAAGTATTATTTTCTATTTTGAATCTGACTCAATTTGGAAATATTGTTCCACTTGCAATTGAAGGGGTGCCTAAGTGTCCTGATTCAGGTCTGGCAGAAGTATAAGATCTTATCACAGGTATACATTGTCCCTTGTGGACCATAAATCAACACAGAACCTTAGGGGTAAGCACAAACTTGCAGTGTGTAAAGATGAACCACTTAAAAAAAATAGCCAAAGTTGGTAATGAAAATCTATGTTTGTTAATTAATGTAAGACCTTTTTATGTAGTAATTTTAAGGGAGGGTGATACTGTAATCAATCTCTCAGCCAGATTTCCTTGTGTTAATGTGATACATTTTGTTATAATTATCAGCCAAATTGTGCATCTTCAGATTTAAACATTTTGTCTGTCTTAGAAATTTTATTTTTCTTTTCATTTACAGCAAATCAGACATGTCCCGTCTACGGTTGGCGGCTGGCAGTGCCATAATGAAGCTTGCACAGGAGCCCTGTTATCATGAAATTATAACCCCAGAGCAATTCCAACTCTGTGCACTGGTCATTAACGTAAGAAGCTAACGTATTTGACGTAGTGTTCGAAAGGGGTAGCAATTTGAGTTAGAACATAAAACTAGTACTTGGGCTGATTTTGTCTTTCTCTCTTTCTGTGCACTGCTTTAAGCTCCCTTGCAAGGAAGCATGAGATGCAAACAAAAATAAAACTTAACAAATTGTGCTAGTGCTCTACTGTAGATAAACGTGTTTTCACATCTCATATAGCTGTCCTGAAAGTTTGTTTGCCCCATTTATCCTAATTGTTCAGTTGTCCTTGTCGTTTTCTTCTCCTAATATAGGATGAATGTTACCAGGTGAGGCAGATATTTGCTCAGAAGCTACATAAGGCACTAGTAAAATTACTGCTCCCATTGGAGTACATGGCAATATTTGCACTGTGTGCCAAAGACCCTGTAAAGGAAAGGAGAGCACACGCACGTCAATGCTTGCTTAAAAATATAAGTATACGGCGAGAATACATTAAGCAGAACCCTATGGCAAACGGTTAGTAAATTTGCTTAAGAGATTATTTTTCTCTCATAATATTTGTATTTCTGCTTCTGTTTCTAATTGTTTATAGTTTTATAAAATATATGACATGTATATTCCCTGCTTGCTTAACATAAAATAGTGAAGTCTCTGATGCTAAGTAAACGACAGTTTATATACCAGTTACTCATATAACCTTTAGATTGTGTATTTTTCAGAAAAACTCTTATCTCTGCTGCCTGAGTATGTGGTGCCATACATGATTCATTTGCTGGCTCATGATCCAGATTTTACAAAACAACAAGATATTGATCAGCTTCGTGATATCAAAGAGTATGTGTCATCTTATATTTAAACGCTTTAAAATGTCGGATTCAAATTGCTACATTTCTGGACATTTTAAATATAAATTTAATTTCTTGATTTTTGAAGAGAACAATACTTCTCATCGCCAGTGCGCCTACAGTTCTCTGATGTATTCAGCTCCTTTTGCATTTTCTGAGTTTTTGTACATCTTTGCCATTGAGCATTGTCTGAACTTCATGTAGGTTCTAGTGATCCATAAAGGGAGTGAGTCTGAGAGAACAAATAGTACCATACTTGTTTCATTTATGTCATAAGCAAAGTAATTAAACATGCAGTGTGCCAGTGTAAAAAAAGCTTCAATCAATGGATGGATGGATGGATGGATGGATGGATGGATGGAAGGAAGGAAGGAAGGAAGGAAGGAAGGAAGGAAGGAAGGAAG